TTAGAAGACAGCCCCAAACTAACTGCAGTCTACCAAACTGAAACTGTAATTTACAGCTTGGTGTAGTGGTTAAGAGTGGTGGACTCTAATCTGGAGAACCAGGTTTGATTCCCCACTCCTCCACATGAAGCGAGCTGGGTGACCTTGGGTCAGTCACAGATCTCTCAGAACTCTCTCAGCCCCACCTACCACACAGGGGGGTCTGTTGTGGGGAGAGGAAGGGGAAGGCAATTGTAAGCCATTTCAAGACTCCTTCAGGTAGTGAAAAGCAGGGTATAAAATCAGCTCTTATTATTATTCAGTTTTATTCCATTAACATTAAACTTTAATTTACACCTAATACCATACTGAATTATTAGTGCATTCTCAGTTTAACAAAAGAATTATAGTCAGTCATCATAGGTACATGTTATAAAAAAGCTACTTAATCCTCGAATGTTAAACAGGCATCAATATTGATCCTTTTTTCTTTTGAAGTTTGCCTATAAGCCACAGTTTTCCCCCTCTGGTTCAAAAAGCCCACTTGAACAATCAAAGTCCTTCAAACCAACAAGTGTTCCCTGATCTTAATGGGGTGGTTGCCTGCCCTCTGTTCTGCCCCCGACCCAAGTACTCCTTTATGGGTCTCAGTGTTTCTCTTCTACTCCCATTATTACTGGCTCCTGTCTTTCCCTCACCTCAGCTCCCTGGCACTATGGTTCACCTTCCTAGAGGGAGAAACTCAGAACTTGTGAGCTGGAGAATTCCCTGTCTGAGGCCTTAGAGAGCTGCTCTGAGTCACAGTGTGCAACACTGGGCAAAGACGAATCCATAGCTTGTGGCAGTGCTACCTATTCAGACAGTGATACAGAACTCTGTCAGGTCATTGCTATTTGATCCAGAAATCAATATTTTTAAGGGTGATTTCTGAGAATAATGAAGTGTCTGTGACAGATTCCAGTGAATAGTTCTTGATCATTTTAACCTTTATTAATCTGCTCAAGAAAATTTTGAACAAATCACATGTTTTGAGAGTTAAATTGCTTTCATTTTCCATTCTGGATATCTTTGAGAGAAAAGGAGCACTTTCAAATAGACATTACCATTTGGTGCAGGTCTGCTGAGATACACTTGTGAATAGCAGTTATCACTGAGCTCAGCAAACATCCCCTAGGGGACTAATGAAGTGTATTGCTGTAACATTTGTAATTGCTAAATTTTCTTATCTACAGAACGGTCAGCACCTTCTTATCTAGACACTTCCTGTAACATTGGCTTATAAATACTCTCAATCTGCTAATCGTCATCCATTTCTTCCTGTGAGTCAGCATTTTGTGTCTCAGTGACAGTCTTGCCAACCTGGTGTTTGGTCTGTTCATTCAGGAGCAAGGACCAAACTGAACAACTAATTTTCTTAAGTGTGTACACAAATAATAATTTGAATGTGCTTCTTTGGATGCTAGTCGATGACACCAAAGAAATGCTGTTTTTCTCTCGTGTTTTTCTCAACTCTGTGATTTTTTTTCCTGGTACCTCCCTCTTTTGACGGGTTGTATAACACACTAGCTGAAAACCTGCTGATCATTTCCTCTGCTCCCAGCTTTGGGGCCACTGTAGGCTTGAGTCCTGACGCATTATAGCAATCTTTGGCATATTAAAACAAGTACTGGCAAGACAACATATCTGAAAGGCCACCTTTGACCTGTATGACCCTTTTCCGGGTGGTCCTAGCTTCAGAGGTGGTGGTGATTTAATGGCAGGTTCTTCTCAGTGGTGGCTTCAAGTTATAGAACCATGGGGTGCATCTGGCCATACTCCAAAAAACCTTTTTCCAACTTAAATGGAAGGAAGGCTCCTTAGACTAGAGGAAGGCTTCAAACTCGTCTCACTTTAATGTTAGGCTAGGGGTAGAATCAATCCCATTCCATTATGTTTAGAGACATTCATGTGGCTGGCTTTTCAGTGCCAGGTGGGACTTGAATTCTCCTGAGTTTTCAGTTGATAAAATGTTTTCTTAAGGTGTGTCTTTCTGCATTTACTACTGTGATACTGCTAGTTTTGCTGCTTCCTTGTGGCTCATAATTACTTATAATTACTTATTCCTTTTTCAGTATTTGTATTCCACCCTTAGCTATTCAGTTTTTGAGAAAACTTTTAAAAGCTCCAGATAATGTAACCGCTTCTCCCTGATATTTACATGAATAGTTGCTAAAATATTATTCTTTATTAAAATATCAGAATGGGGTAGCAGTTAAAATAGTTAAAACTATAAAATAGCATTATAGTTGAAACCATTATTAAAACACAATAGCAGGAAAGGGCATTTAAAAAGTGCAAGACTTCAGACTTTAAAAACACACACAATAATAACATAGGACAACAGAAAGTGTGGGCGAAAAGAGAGGCCTTTACATGGCACAGAAAACTCATTGGTCTTGGCACTAGGTATATACCTATGAGGTGAGGAAACTTCACATTTCTGGCGGGGCAGCACAGAAGTCTTGGTCTGTCCTTGCTGGCTGGCTGCTCTACTGCTGTGTCTGGCAACACAGAGAGCTTCTCTTCTCTTGTCAGGCCAACACATATGGGATTAGGTGGCCCTTTAAGTACCATAGTCCCAGGTCATTTAGAATTATTAAAAGCCCTTCAGATTGCTCCCCAAAGTGAATCAACAGCCCCTGAAATTCTGTCATGATCTGTGTTCACAATAGCGAAAACCCTTCAACGGTCTCGCTGCAGCGTTTATTTTCTAACGGGTGGTTTTTAATTTCATTTATCTTCTGCCTTGGGGAAGCTAGGCTGAATTGCAGGATAGAAATTATTAAGTGAAATATAAACAGCAGCTTACAGCTAGCCTTGCTTTATATGTAGATTGTCATAGAATTAAAATCGGTTCCCCTGCTGAAAAGGCTATAAGCACAAACAAAAAATATTAACCAGATCCAGATTTTACAGCAGGCAGAGGTCTATCTGTGACAGGCACAAGCATCACTGGTTGTCATGCTCATGCATTCTGCTCCCTCTTCTTCTTCCCTCTTTGTCCCCCTGTGCCTCTGCTGAACTGAAAACTTCTGGGTTTGGGAAGCCTAGAATCCAGCTTCAACTCTAAATCCTGGTTTGGTGGGGGAAACGAATTCCAGCTCACCACGCAGCCCATGTTTGGCCATTGTGGCCAATTAGAGGCCTTCAGTTGCTGTCTGCATGAGCCATGATCATTGGGAGGGGCAGAGAGAAGATACTTGCTGCTCTTTGCGGTCATAAAGATTACGTAAGTTATCCAGATAGTTGGCCAGTTGGACCAGATGGCAGCGGCTGCTCCATTTTTCGTGTATAGCATTTTATAGCCCCAGATAATTTCTATAAATAATTCTGCCAAACATGTTTACATTCCCCAGGAAAAAAAGAAATTATTTAATTACCAGATCCTGAGGGTTCCTATTCTGATGTTAGTAAATATTATGATGCTGGAGTGAGTGACTCAGCTTGCCTGAACTCTTAAGTGTGTAGAGGTGTTATCTCCTTGAATGGGATGTCTTTCTTTGTCTTAACCTGGGAGCTGCCCTCTGACAGTTTGGTTTAGTGGTTAAGTATGCGAACTCTAATCTGGGAGAACTGGGTTTGATTCCCCACTCCTCCACTCACAGCTGCCGGATGTCCTTGGGCAAGCCATAGTCCTGTCAGAGCTGTTCTTGAAAAAGAGCAGTTTCTGTCAGAGCTCTCTCAGCCCCACCTACCTCACAGGGTGTCTGTTGTGGGGAGGGGAAGGGAAAGGAGTTTGTAAGCCGCTCTGAGACTCCAAGTGAAGGGTGGGGTATAAATCCAATCTCCTCCTCCTCTCTCTCCATCTACATGGCCTTACCTGGAGAGACATGTCTCTGCAGATCTCTCCTGTGGCTACAATGCCCTCCTACTCTCACACACATGATGCCAGACAAGCTAGCCATTTGCGATAGGGAAAGTATTCTTTAGATTAGACTTCTTTCTTTTCTTTTGATTGCAACTTGAATGTGAACTGGATCTACTTGGATAAATGTAAATTTACCTTTTTTGCAATATACTTCTTGAGAGATTTATTTCCTATGCTCGGTATCATGCTTCTATGACTGGGCAAACTCTGCTATATTAAACAAATATCCCAAATGAGACCTAATTAGGCTGTTGCATTCCATAGAGCTATAGTCTGAAATGGAAGTAGGCTATAATATACTCCATGTGTAGGGACTGACATGCTGTTTTGCCCAATCAAGCAGGTGGCATTATATCATGCTGGAGTGGAGCGAGTTGGTAATGTCAGCAAAGGAATGGGAGATTGACATCAAAGCTTTGTGACTCCCTCTTCTATATCTTTCTGGTGGTGCAAAGAGCCATCGAGTTACAGCTGACTTATGGCAACCCCCTTAGGGTTTTCAAGGCAAGAGATGTTCAGATGTAGTTTCCCATTGCCTGCCTCTGCATGAAGACCCTGGGCTTTCTTGGTGGCCTCTCATTCAACTATTAACCAGGGGCAACCCTGATTAGCTTCTGAGATCTGTCAAGATTGAGCTAGCCTGGGTTATGTGTATATAAATGTGCTTAAGTTGTTGAGATGTTTAATTTTCTTCTCTTGCATTGAGAATTAGGTTTTCTAGTGCCGCACACCTTGGCACCATACCATACTTCTGTGTCTCTCTCCTCTCCATTCATCTGCATGGCACAGGAGGAGGAGCTGCAGATGTAGCCCTAGTGATGGAGGGAATAGTAGACAGAGAACCTTTTTCTTGGGCTCCCAAAACCTGGAGCCAGCTTTAGGGCAGTGTTCTGCTGCAATATTTGTCAGTCGAATGACAGGTTTTTGAATTCTGCTTGCTGACTTCAGCCAAAAAACAAAAAAAGCTTGTTGGTCCAAATTCATTGCTTTGGAATAAGTGTCAGTGAATGGGGGGGAGTTCAAAGCGTTTTCCCTTTTTAGAATGTCCTTATATGAGAGCAGTGTTTGTTCAGGCTTGTACGTATGATGTATTGTGGTAATTTTCTCCTTGCAGATTGAGAAGTTACAAAACCAGATTGAAAGAGAGAAGCAAAGCAATCAAGACTTGGAGACATTGAGTGAAGAGCTTCTAAAAGAGAAGGAGGAGCTTCAGGGCATAATGGAGACCTTAAAGGCCGATAAAGAGAGACAGGTATAAAGAAAGGTTGGCCTCAGATTTTCCATCCAGAGGCTTTCTCACGTGGCTATGTAGAAAACTTTATTGGATTCCCAATGTAAAAGCCACCGAAGATTTTTCCCGGCTGGCAGGTTTTGTTCAGTGAAAAAGCAGTTTGTCCAATTCACCTCTACCAATTTTATCATCTTTGGGCATTTCCTGACCTTTGTGTTAGTTTGGAACTAGTGCCAGGAGGATATAGCTCAACTTCCGTATTGGTAGAGGAAGAATCACAATGCCTTTGACACCTGCTGCTTTGAATAGCTTCAGCCACTCATATTTTAAGTTGGCAAGTGGGGTTTTTTCAAGCTTGGTATGGCATTATCCACATGTTTAAATTAAAAGAATTAAACATGTATTTTGCCTTTAAAATTAATCTACCAAAGTTGATGTGTAGCTTTGTATGACACACATAAACAGAAAGCTGTTCTTTCCAGAGAATTTGAAAGTGTTGGGTTTTATCCTGCCTAGTGCCAACAGAAGGAGCATGGATCTTGCCATGTTCCCCTTCTGTAGTTCCTTCTGACCTGCCCCCCCCCAGTAGATTTCCAGGGTCGTGATAACCATATGGATTAATAGCAACATGGGTAGGAGGCTGCACTTTAGATAGAGAAGGGGACACAGTCACATTTCCTGCCCATTCTGTCAGTGGAGTAGTCTAGCCTGGAAGGTACTGTGACATGAATCAGCCAGCTGAAGTCAGCTGAGTCCAAAAAATGGGCCAGTTGCCATGCTAGATAGAAATAGGAAAAACATGCTGTTATCTGTTCCTTGTGGAGTAAGATAGTTTTGCTCCACCAGAAACACTCTTTAAGGTCTCCGACTTACCAGCCAGCATCTTCTGTGGCTTGTCTGGGTCATTATTATTCCTATGTTGTAGAGAGGTAAAGAAAGCTGAAAGTGATTTTTGTGTATAAGTGATGCTAGCTCGCCTTTTGTGCAATGCTTCTGTCTTAACTACACATGCACACTCACACATAGAGACACTACAATTCTAGGGAAAGCATATTTAAATGTGAGGGATTATTTTGCAAGTGCTGGGTGTGTCAAAAACACAATGCCTCCATAGGGCACAGACCTAGTCTGACTCAAAGGTCTTTAGAAGCCCAGTCTGTCAGATATGGTGGAGCCCCTCATCAAAGTAAAAATGTTGCTCTGTCACGGTCATGGTCTTTCTGCAGTGACTCAGCTGGATTGGTGTTGGTTGCAAACCAATGGGTAAGTCAGAACTGGAAATGACAAAAGAAGGGTAAATAAACATAACCCAGACCAAACTGAAGTAGGTAACTGAAGGTTAAGAACATATACATGTATAGGCCCAATAATGCTGTGGTCAAATTAAAAATTAATGTTATTAATAAAATAAACAAATAAATAATATTAACAAATATACAAAAATATACATTATTTGTTTCACAGTAGATTTAAAACAGATATTGGCCCTCACAGTAGCCTCAGTTATCATTGATGATGTACAATGATCCAAAAATAACAAATATTGACCCTGAGTAGATGCATTCCGGCCCAGTTGGCCTTCCTCGGTGGTCAAACTAATAACATTACAACATGTCTCCTGACATAAGAATATAACATTCATTTATCATAAACTGACCATGGTGAAGTTATTCTGATAACTATTGTCTATGACCAAAGGCAAGGATATTAATCAAAAGCCTCATTCTTGAGAGTACACAGCCATGGGCAGGTACACGTTCCTATAGCAATTATTCAGTTGTGTACCTTTCTTGCTTGGTCAGAAGAATTCAGTACAGCCAGGAGGCAATAGTGAAGATGCATTATTGGGCCAATACATTTATATTTTCTTAACCTTCAGGTACTTAATTTAAGTCAGATCTGGAGACAGCTGGACTGGAAAGCCAGTGTGTCTTCTGGAAGATCTAGAATGAATTTCCTCTAGGAGTGTAGAAGGGTGTTTGTTGGTCTGAGGTAAGCTACCTCTTCCTCCTGACTTTTAATCCCGGGCTGGGTTGAAAGATGTAGTCTTGAGACCGCTGTGTGTTGATGCCAGCACTTCTAGCCTTTCTGTGTTGGCCATGGCCTTATCATGCCATGGATGTGGCACTATCCCTGACCAGTACAAAATTTAATTTATTGCTATGAGAGCACATAACAGATTGGTGCAACCACCCAATCTTTATACTCATGTACACTTTGCTAGAGTGCAGTTAATGATAGACCAATCCGCCCTCACATATCTGGATCCCCATGGGAGCTTTCTGGCATTCAATTTTCCACCTCATTTATTTTAAATATAGATAAAAGACCTAGAAAAAGAAACCCATCATCTCAATCAACTGGTTTTATCGCTAAGGCAGAGGTCACAAATCAGCAGTGAGGCCAGAGTGAAAGACATTGAAATGGAAAACAGAATACTCCATGAAACGGTGACCCAGAGTAGTAGCAAGCTTAGCAAGCTGGAGTTTGAGAAGAAACAACTGCAGAAGGACTTTGAGCAGGTTAAAGAGAAGGTGGAAAGAGTAGAAGAAATGGACAAGGAGCTTCATCGGCTGGAAAGGGAGAATGAGCAGCTCACCAAGAAAGTTGTGGCCATGAAGGTCACTATAGACAAAATGGAGGTTCTTGAGCAAGAGAACAGGGGTCTGGAAATGGAGAACAGGAAGCTGAAGAAATCACTAGATACTTTGCACAATGTTACAGTCAGACTGGAGAGCTTGGAAAAGGACAACAAGGAATTAGATGAAGAGAACTTGGAACTCAGGAGGATGGTGGAGACAATGAGGTTCACCAGCACAAAAATGGCTCAGATAGAGACAGAAAACAAAGAACTGGAGAGGGAAAAAGAGGAACTTGGAAAAAATGTGGAAATGTTAAAGATGCTGGTCAAGAAATCTGACAGGTTAGAGCTGAGTTACCAGAGTGTCAGTGCTGAGAACCAAAGACTTCAGCAGATCCTGGAGAACAGCAGCAAGAAAATCCAAGAGTTGGAGAAGGAACTCCAGGGCACCGAAGGTGAAAACCAGACTCTCAGTAAAAGATTAGAAGAGCTAAAGGTTTCAAATAAGCATCTGGAGTGGTTGGAAAATGAAAAGAAACAGCTTGAGCAAGAAGTGTCCCAGCTGGACAAGGACAAGAAGATGCTGGAGAAGGAGACAAAAAGGCTTTGGCAGCAGGTGGAACTAAAAGATGCCAGTTTAGATGACAACACTGCAAGGTTGGCAGCTCTGGAGAAGGAAAACAGAACACTAGAAAAAGACCTTACTAGGTTCAGAGACTCGTCCAGTAAGATGAAAGAATTTGAGAAAGACAATAAAGACCTCCTAAAGCAAGTTACCATTGATAAGAGAACACTGGCTACATTGAGAGAGGTAAGCAAAGTAGCCTTTGTCTGAAGAGACCACGTGTTTCTGCGTCTAGCATAGACAGAACAAGTATGTATGTTTCTCTGAACCAAACGAAGAATGAAGGAGACATTGTGTGGTGGCTTGGAGCATTACATTTTGTCATGGCCCCAAAAGAAAGAGAATATATTCTCATGACACTGCAGGTGATAGGCACAGAGTCCTGTGACACAGAAAATACTAGCTTGCCTGAGAATCCTGTGACTCACAGCTGTGTGAATCATAATTTGATGGAAATTGATGCTAATTAGTGTCAATAATAACTTCAAAAGTTCATCAGTGTGACAACATTCATAAAAAATCTTCCCCCAGCCTGTGCCATAAAATTTGGTAGAACCCCCCCCCCAAAAAAAACACACACTATATATATATTCACAAAGTTGTAACGTCTAGAACCATCACTGAAACACTCTTCAAAAAAAGTTATCTTTTAAAAATGATGCGTTGGAGCCTGCCTAACTTTCCTTGGTCAAAGTTGCAATTAAGAGAGCCTGAGCAAAAATCTGTATCACCCTTTAATATTGTAACTGGAGAAAGTATCCTATAGCAAATGTTAGATGAGTTGTTTCCACAATGACTTCACGTTTTCAATGAGAGTGCAGTGAGAGCTGCGGATTGATTCAGGGTCAAGTGAACTAATTTTGGTGACAATAAAAGTGGTCTTGGAAATTCTTAGTTCAACTCAGTCAGCTGAAGTGGACTAAATTTATGTACAACTCTGGTAAAATAGGTCAGACGAAAACTGTGGAATCTTCATGTTATAACCATCAGGTTGAATACATAAATCAAGGTTCCTAGAGCTTCTTCTTCCTTTACTGTGTCATTTGGTCTGTGAAACCAAGAGCTGTTCACACATGAATGTCGTACACAAATGTTGCTCCTGTGTTGGCCAGAATAAATAACCACCACATTTATGTGCAACAGCTGCACATACCTGTTTACAGAAAACAAGTGATGTGCATTTGTCTCATGTCAACAAAGTATATATGGTGGTCTGATAGTTTTCTTCTGTGATAGCTGTATCCTTGTTAGGAACAGTCTTGGGTGAAGCCATTCAGAAGGCCACCTCCCAGAGTTATGCTGCCAAAATGCACTTGTTTTTCTCTCACTATGCCCGCTAATCAAGTTTAGTGCTGTTTTCAGGATTTGGTTCTTGAGAAATTAAAGAGCCAGAGATTATCCAGTGAGCTGGACAAGCTTGGCCAGGAGCTAGAGAAGATTGGATTGAACAAGGAGTTGCTGCTACAGGATGACAATGGCAACAATGACAAGTGAGGCCTTTTTCTGGTGGTTCTGTGGAAGGCTTTTCTGCACGTGATGTCCTAATTTTGGTCTCATAGGTTCTAGACTGGGTCTCCAACAGGTAGCTCTTGAGCTACGAGTAGGCTACTGGCTGCTGTGGAATAGATTGTGCATCCCCAGGAAAAATATCACAGACAAAAAAAATCTGTTCTAGGCCTTTTTAATTAAAGGTTTTATTTCTTAAGATTTGTCTCTGTGCTGCTTAACTGATAGCTTCATTTGTAGTGTTCTTACTAGTCCATATTTTATTTCTAGGACAGAATAAAATATAGTAATGTGCCAGGGTGGGGGGAATGGCTCGGAATATTAATTTTTTTTGTTACTCAGAAGCAGCTCTTATTAAGGAATAGATTGGCAACCAGCATTCTGGATAATGTTTTTTTCTCTTCAAAAGCAGTCTGTAGGCTTGATAAGATCTTCCTTGGAGAACAGGAACCAGTATTCGGGTCTTCTCCACACAGTGTAGCTGTATCAAAGGAACTGGACTGCCACAAATTATCTCTTTAGGAGGTATATGTAGAATAGAAGAGAGCCTTCTATCAAACCTAGAGGAGTGTAGAGAGAAACTAATGGATGCCTTTCCAGGGAAGTCCAGCTCCTGTTACTGTTCAATTTTTACAACATCCACACCACATAATTGAATCTACTTTCATGTCAGTTTGGGTGTACCAGCTGAGTAAAAGTCACTGTGTGATAGCAGAGGACTATGTGAACATGAGATTTTTCCCCTCCCACATTCATCTGCTCTTAATGTTGAGCAGGTGATCAGTGTCCATCCAATCAATAGCGCCAATCATTATAGACGGAAGGGTCACCCATAATGGATCATTACTCTGAGTAGATGCTGCTGCTTTCTTTATAACTGCATATACCTGTGGGAGCTGGATGTGAATGGTTTTCCTAGGCTTTTTCTTTTATGTTATATCTCTTTAATTTATTTATTATATTCCTATCTTGCCATTTTCCATCGTGGAAATGAAGGTGACATCCACAGGATTCCCAGGAGGGCTACCCTTCAGGCACACTGGCCAGATCCAAACAAGCTTAGGTTCAGCAAGGTTTACTATATCATACACCTTCCCACTATGCCTATTTGATTTTTTTTTCTTACCAACTAAACAGATCTTTGCTGATGGGAAATATGCCACTGATAGAAAACAAATGTTGTTGCAGGTACATATCTAATGTTTTGGAGGAGTGGTTGACTTCTCTCAAGTGGAGATGTCTGCGTGCTATCCAGTATTGAAATGTTTTTGCTGTTATCCACAGGAAATACAAGATCCTGGAAATAAAGACTGAATGTGCAATAAAGACAACACTAGCCAATAAAGAAGAGAAAATTGCTTTGTTGGAGGCCCAAGTGCAAGAGTTTCTTAACTTAAATCAGCACCTACAGAATGAACTAAATACGGTAAAAGGGAAAACCTTGTTTTATGTTATGAGGTCTAGGCATTTCAAAAACTTGGTAAGCTTTCAGTTTTCTGTTAGGAATGTATGGTATATTGGAGATAGAAATGTTGTGCATGTGGCTTGGAATAATTATGCAGTCTTTGGTAGATGTTTGATTTATTCATCCACATGCAACATTAATAATGGAAACAGGCAGATTAGTTCTTCATACATGGGCATTATCCAGCTTGTTGTTTTCAGGCATGCCACACCTACTACCAAATTGCTGAGACTAAAGCAAGAATTCCCCAAACTTTGTGTAGAGTGCACAGGGTCCACTCAGAACAGGAACTCCAGCCTACAGCATGTGAGGCTATATCTTATTGTACATTCCAAACTAAACTTCGGGGAATGCAGCATCCTTCCCATTTCAAGTCATCAGAGGAGGAAACAGCCACTAGTGCTGTTCTGCAAACACTTGCACATGAGTTCGTGCAGTGCTGTAACTAGGTTCTTTAGCAGCTCTCATGCTCTTGTGACAAGCTGTCGCTCAAGTGGAGGAACAATCTAGGACTTGGTTTTCTTTTCTTGCCGCAGTGCTAAAGCAATCAGTATAAAATGCCCCTTCTGCATGTAGAACAGGGGTTGCCATCTAGTCAATCATGAAAATCAGTATAAAATGCCCCTTCTGCATGTAGGACAGGGGTTGCCAATGCCATCTAGTCAATCATGAACATTGGCCATGCTTCATGCCTTCTACATTTAGAAATGCAATCATCTCATGAAGCCTTCCAGATGTCAAAACGTAGATTGTGGAAACAGAAAACTTGGCAATCAAAAAAAGATTGCCATACATAAGAAGTACCTTAGAAACTTTTGAAGATACTTAGAATCCCCTTTGAAAATATTTAGAATAGAAAAAAAAAAGAAATGGTCAGACTTGTGAACGTGGCAGTGTATATTCAGCAAATAGAACTTCTTGCTCATTTCTAATTTAGATCTGTTGACCTAAGAGTTGTCCTCAGTTGTATGTTTGACTATGTTTTTCACAGGTAAGGAAGGACTTTGAAGGTCTGAAGCAGAGTAGAAAGGATGAAATGCATGTGCTGAATTCATTGCCCTCAGAGAACGTTTCTAGTCATCAGGCAAGAGAAAAGTCAGAATTGCTTCACAAGGAAGCAACTATGGAACTTCTGAAAGTGAAGGACCGAGCTATAGAGCTGGAAAGAAGTGTAAGTTTTGCTATTTCAAATCTGTTTTATTTATTTTAGTACTTCTATCCTGTTTTTCTCCTGAAAGGACCCAAAGTGGTGTATGAGAAAAATACCTAAATAAATCAGTGTAAATCAAACAACGCCCCCCTCCAAAACAAGTGCATCTCAAAGCGTGTGCCACATGCTGTGGTAGACATATTTTCCTATATGGAGGTTCTCTTTATAGCAAAACAATATGCAAAGTGGCTCTTTGGGCATGATCAGTCTGGGGCTTGCTCTTCCCCAAGCTGGGATGGGTAAAATCACCATTAAAATCCCACAGAGGCACCATCAAAGAGGGAGAAATCCTCGCTTTTCCTTCGAAGGAAGGGGGAGGAGAGTTATTTAAGCAAGTGTTTTCCAAAATGCCTTTCTTGTGGGAGCCTTTTGGCAGCCTCCACACAGGACTTGCCTGTCAAGGAACCACATACTCTTTGCAAGGGATTCTTGGTATGCTTCCTGGTGCGCACTTGGGTCATTGGGCAGGACTCTAGGGCCTCACAGGACTATAGTTCCTCACAGTTTCTCCATTTGGATAGAGGGAGAGTATAGGCTAGACCAGTGATCTCCAACCGTTGGTTCAGGATTCTCAGGTGAGTTGTGGAGTCCCCCCTGCTGGATCACATGTCCCTAAAGGGCCATCAGGTTTGGGGTTTTTTTGCTGTTTTGGGGAAGGACCGGCTGCTAGTGCTCATACATAGAAAGCAAGCTTGGCATGCCTCCTGCCTTTCCTTATATGCAGACACTGATAGGAGCAGCAAGGAGTTGAGGTGAGGTCATTCATTGGAGATTCCCTTTTAGCGTTGACAAAGGCAGACACACAAACACACACCCCATGCTAACCTTCCCTCATGTACCGTGGTCAGGCCACTACCCACTCTGCTCACTTGGTCCTACAGTGCTGCATGTATGCTTGCAGCACAGAATAGCCCTCAACACCGGTATGGTAATATCTTTGGCTTCTCTCCTTCCTGTCACATGACTTCTTTCGTACTTGCAGCTCATGTTGCTGCCTGGAAGTGGAAGGTGGGTCCTGAGTCTGGAAAGATCGAAGACCGCTGCTCTGGAATGTCTGTGCCCCTCCTCCTTTTATCTAGATTCTAGGAGGGAACTTTGGTAACAGTGGCCATGTTGTGTTGCAAGATTATCTAGATTCTAGGAGGGAACTTTGGTAACAGTGGCCATGTTGTGTTGCAAGAACATGGTCTGCATTCTTTATCTTCTCACTTGCAGAATTTCTGATAGGTTCCCAGGGGAACTCTCGAGTGCAGTTTGAATACCAGTGATCCTAGAAAAGAAGCTGAATTCTCACTTCTGTTCCTTTTGTGTTACTGATACAATAGATAGGTGGAAAAGGGGCCATTGCATCCATTAGTTCTTTCTTCCATCTGTGATACACCCTTGTTTGAAGCCATTAAATGGAAAGGTACTTAACAAAGTAGCTGCATTTTAAATAATAGAGGCAGGTTGTTCTATCCTCTTATGCATCACAATTGGTCTCTGAATTCTTTGCTCCCTGTTTCCTCCTGCTTGCATCTCAAAAAAATTCTGTTTTTCTCAGAACGCAGCCTTGCACACAGAGAAGAAGCTTCTCAAGGAACAATTAAGACATGTGGAAACCCAGAATACCTCCTTCAGCAATCAGATCCTTACACTACAGAAGCAAAACGTCTTTCTTCAAGAACACAACACTGCAATGCAAACGCAAACCGCCAAACTCCAGGTCAGTAAAGCCCCCAGGAGCTTCTGCTGGAAATGTTCCTAGCTGGCTTGTTTTAGAGAGCACTGGAGGAAGTGCCAGTTACCTAGTGTTGGTCTTATCATTTCAGGTGTTCATTTGGTTGAGAATATGATTCTTCAGGTAGTGAAACTGTTAACTTTAAAAAAAGAAGAGTGTGGTTTGTTCTGTTCTGGATTTGGTGCTATTAACAACTAAGAGGGACATTTCAGATATGTACTAAAATAAATGCAATAGTACAGTTCCATATGTTATTTGATTTTGTTAACGTTATCAACATAACGGTTTGTGCTGCACACTAGGAAAAATATCTACTTTTTTTGAGAGAGAGCCAGTCTGGGATAATGTTTAGAGAGCTGGACTAGAACTGGTGAGTTTCACGTTGCTCGCTCAAATGCTCTCCGAGTGACTTGGGCCCCGTCACTCCCTCTCCAGTCTACCTCATAGGCTGATTATGAAGATAAAATGGAAGAGGGCAGAATGGTATTTATCTGCTTGAGCTCTTTGGAAAAGGAAGAATAGGATTAAAATTACAGATGTAGAAAGTGAACACCATTCATGAGCAAAACAGACAGAAACCAGTCTGAAATTTTAAGTATTGTGCCAAATAATAGTTACTGCTCCACAGTGTTGTTACTTAAGCTGTTCTTCGGTATGATTTCCTTTGAACTGTGACAGCTTTAGAGCTTGAATGGTTCTTAAAGGTTTTTCCCCCCCCAATGGCATTGGCTTCGGGGCCTTTGGATAAGAAAAGACTTAAGTTCCTGTTTAATTAGTTACTCTGATTGCATTTTGTCAGGGAGAACGAAAGCGAGTCTGCAGTTGGTACCAGTGGGACACATTTTGGTTTTTAAATCAACTGACACAGCCAAACCATGCCATAGTGGAAGATTTTGCAGTGAAAGGGGCCTAAGATCAAGGGGAAATTATTTCCACTTGCTATAACTCTAAGTATATGTCTTATCACTTAAATATTCTAGGTCAGGGGTGTCAAACTCATTTGTTATGAGGGCTGGATCTGACATAAATGAGACCTTGTTGGGCTGGGCCATGTGTGTCATAAAATGTAATGCCAGGTAGCAGATATATAAACTTTGAAAAGGACACAAACACAAAGATTTTTTTAAAATTTAAAATAAAAGCATGCTTAAAACATTAGCTCTGTAAGCTGCAAACCTACTTTTGATTTATTGACATTCACCACAGAGATCTCATGCGCAGAGTTCTGAGTCTAGGACCCAGGTTAAAACATGAAATGGCTGAGTGATTAAGAGGGTCTGGTGAAGCAAGCTATGATGCAGCAGCAGCAGAACTGGAAGCAGGAGATGGCCAGTTCCACTGCGGGCCTGATGGAAGCCCTCCGGGGACCTGATCCAGCCCCCGGGCCTCTGGGTAGGGCAGGATAGAAATCCCAAAAATAAATAAATGCATGTTTGACACCCCTGTTCTAGGTGGTATTATTTTTCACATAAACAAGCACAGGCTAAAATATTTTGAACAACCAAAATTTGCTTGCTGATTTGGATTTTAATAAATAAATAAATGTTTGACACCCCTGTTCTAGGTGATATTATTTTTCACATAAACAAACATAGGCTAAAATATTTTGAACAGCCAAAATTTGCTTGCTGATTTGGATTCTGTAGAAATCGGTACCAATAATTAATTTCCAAAAATATAAAATGCCTTTTTATTAGGACCAGCCAAAATAACAAAAGCACATTTTCCAAGCTTTCAAGTTTTCCAAGCTTTCAAGCCTTCAACAACATATTTTCCAGGACTCTTTGCCAGAATGGATGTGAAAAAACAAAAAGGGAGACAGGGAGAAGAACACACATATAAGACCGGTGTGTTAAGGCTTCTTTGTCTTTGTGTTGTGTTAGCTGGTTGACTAACTTCAGTAGTCTACTTGTTGATCTTCTTTGGGAACAATTCGTATGAAGCTAAAATGTGGAATAGTATCAATCTTTCACCGAAGGGGCGGGGTGTCCCCTGTTGATCCTATACTGTGAGATCTTTGACAGTACTTTGCTATAACTTAGGGTTCCCATTCCCCCTACGGGGGCAGGGTTTGCCCTCTTTTGCGGCCCCTGATCCGGCCGGCGGGGGGGGACCCCACCTCCAAAGCACCTTGTTTGCGCCAACATGCCAGAGGTGACATTGTGCAGGACACGTTGCGGGAGGGGGGGACACTCAATCGTTTAAGGAAAAAACATAGATTTTTTTCTTCCTTAAACAATAGAGCATTCCCTGTAGCATGCCCTGCACAATGACGTTACTTCCAGGTGACATCATTGCGGTGCACGCACGAAGAGATCTTGGACCAATGTGCTGAAGAGATCTTGGACCAATGGAGGGACACACACACCCCAGCCGGCAGCCAGGCAAGACCTGGCAACCCTCGTATAGCTTCTAGGAGATAATGGTGGCTTACCTATTTAGCCTCTCCAAGTGTACACCTATGTGCTAATACAGTTTTGTATTGCCTTGATAAAATTTAGGTAGAGAATTCAACGCTAAATTCCCAGAGTGCCTCCTTGATGGCCCAGAACACACTCCTCCAAAACCAGCAGCTGGCCAAAGAGAATGAATGCGACAGCCTCCTGAAGCAGAAAGAGCAGCTAAAGGCGGAGTATGAGTCTCTGCTTCAGGACCACGAGCACCTGGCCTCGCTTCACGAGCGGCAGTCGACAGAATACGAAATGCTGATCAACCAGCACAGCTGCCTCAAAACTCTCCACAAAAATCTTGACCTGGAGCACAAAGATCTGGCTGAAAGGTGGGGGCGGGGGCCTTGTGTAGCCACTGGAGGGAAATAGGTTCAAAAGGAAATTAGATAGGCATATGGAGCAGAGGTCCATCAGTGGCTATTAGCCACAAGGTATAGATAGGGGCTCTGGGGCAAGTGATGCTCTGTCTTCTTGGTGCTTGTGGGGGGGGGCAACAGTGGGAGGGCTTCTAATGTCCTGGCCCCACTGGTGGACCTCCAGATGACACCTGGTATTTTTGGCCACTGTGTGACAGAGTGTTGGACTAGATGGGCCTTTGGCCTGATCCAACATTGGCGTCTCTTATGTTCTTATAGGTTGCTCACCCTTAAGATTACCAACTTCATTAATGGCCTTGTGCCTTTTAATTGTACCTTGCTTTGGTGGTACCTCCATGCTGTGAAAAGCTTCACCTTTTGGTTTGTGCAACTTGGAGCTGCAGCAGGGCTAGTCCTGGGTGTGTGTGTGGGGGCTCTTAGCAAGATGCTGACCCATTTCGTCCACTCCCAAGCCAGGGCTGTGACACACAGAGAGGAAGGGGGTGCAAGCAACTGATGGCGGCTTCTCCCGATCACAGTTTTGCTACTTGCTCAGCTGCCTAAGCGAATAAACAGCCACCCCCACCAGGAGCTGCATCCACCACTCATGCGCCTGCCCTCTCCCTCTGCTTGGTGACTCCAGCTGCTGCTCCTGGTAGTCAGTAAACAGAGGCTAGGGGAGAATGGGAGGAGCTACTGCCACCTGCCCTGCCACTATCTAGCAGAGAAGAAAGGAGCAAGGGCCCCAGTCTCCACCTTCGGTGGCTCTGTGCATGCTAAATGAGGAAGAAGGGTGGGCAGGCCCTACCCTTCCAGGGGCCCTGCTGCCATAGCCATAGAAAGGGAGCAGGCTGTGATTACTGCTGCTGCGCAGTGGTTGACTGGTAGGCCCGGAGATATAGTTTAAGACCCAGAACTTGGTCAGATTCTCCACACACACCCCATATATCTATTAGAAGGTGTTACCAATGCTCAGCCTTCACATATGTAAACAAAGTACCTAATGAACCAGGAAAAGCAGATTTATTTTTTTTGAAGCACGAACTGTTCTAAATCCTTTCCTGTAGGTACAATAGTTTAGTGCAATACAAAGCTGAATTAGAGGAGCTGGAAGCTGTGTTGAAAGCAGAAAAGGAGGCTCTACAGCAAGAAAAGAGTTCAAACACAGTAGCAGCTGCAGAGAACCAGAAGCTGAGAGAGGAGCTAGAAAGGTAACTGTCCTCCGAAATAGCATAGAACCTTTTTTTATACATGCTTGAGTCAGCGCATTTGATCCTGTCTCATTTCCAATAGCATATACAAAATTCTGCCCAGGTGGTTGAACATAGGGATGGGCACAAACCAGCTTATGAACCAAAGTTCGCCGCAAATTTAGGCCAGTTTGGAGTTCATGAGGCATGCCAGGAAGAAGAGGAGGAGGGGATGGGGAGGAGGAGGAGGAGGATACTGTCTGTACTTTCAACCTTCCAGTGTGTTTGGAATTTCTAAGTGTTTCTCTGGCTTTTTAATAGCATTGAATGTCCTGTGGAGAGTAGAGATGAACTGTAAAGTTATGGTTAGTCATACCAACTTAACATGGATGGAGAATTTAACCTTCCCCCCCCCCCCCACACACACACACAACTTCTGGTGGGGTTTTTTTTCTCTTTAACCAGGGTGGAGGGGGACTGGGAATCAGTCATAGATAGAAACAGAGAAATCTGTTGCAGAATATTAGACTCGAAAAGATGGGAGAATAATAGAAAATTTAGACTGGTATAAATCACTCAAAGTATTTAATAAAAACCAGAGCACAAGTTCTCTGCCAGAAATGGTTTTGCACAGGGTAATCCCTCTCAAATATTTTAATATTAGTAAATCAGGACTCTCTTAATGGAGAAAAGACCATGCCTTAATAACTTTGCTAATTCCAGCTCAAAATCCTGGGTTTTGTTTTTTTCAAAAATATTGATAGATTTTTTTTTTCTTCAGCAAGGCCAAAGTTCCATCTGTTGTTTTTGATGTAAATGTAATCCCAAAAAGGCATTGATTGCATTGCTCTTGGGGAGATATGATTGAGGAGGTGGTTAAACCATTTGGCTTTCCTCATTTAGGGTGAATTTCTTACACAACCAGCTCAAGGCAGAGTATGAAGGGCTTCATCTCCACACAAAGGAGTTGAAAACTTCCTTGAATAATTCCCAACTAGAGCTGAACCGCTGGCAAGCTCGCTATGACGAGTTGAAGGAACAACACCAGACCATGGACATCTCCCTGACCAAATTGGACAACCATTGTGAGGTGAGATCCGTGAGTCTATGTTTGTATGTGTGTATGCATTTATTTAGGTATTTAAACCTGTTTTTCTCCCTGCTGCTGGGGACTCAAACCAGCTTACAAAAGTTAGAAAAATATAATCAAGACAAAATAATAATAATATATTCAGCAACTACTGTAGCTCCTGTGCTGGTCCTAGATCTACTAGAACTGCTCACTCAAGGCCATAGGCTGCAAGCGAAGGACCATCAGTGGCTATTAGCCACAAGGTACACTGACTGGGCCAACGCAGAACCATGTGTCCGGATTGGGTTGCCATCAAAATCTAAAGGAGCTGAACCTCTTTTCCTGTCTGCACTTCCATTTCTTGTCCATGGTTTCTCCCCATTTGTTGGCCTTCCACTGATCCCATCCCTGAATGATACCTCCTCTCCTTTTTCTCCTAGTGTGGTTTGCATTATCTTTAAAACTTGGTTGGGAAAGCGGGGCATAAGCACAGTAGAGGGTCAGAGTGGTGTAGTGGTTAGAGTGTTGGACTAGGATCTCAGTGATCCAGGTTTGAATCCCCACTCTGCTATGGAAGCTTGCTGGGTCACCTTGGGCCAGTTACACAGACTCTCAGCCTAACTTACCTCACAGGGTTGTTGTGAAGATACAGTAGAGGAGATGAGAATGATGTAAGCTGCTTTGGGTCCCCACTGGAGAGAAAGGCAAGGGTATACATGAAGCAAACAAACAAAAAATAACCACAAACGGAAGTCTGAGCACCTGGTGGAAGTGGGAATGGTTGATGTTGGTGCTTAAATGTGCACCAATGTAGCTATTGGATGAGCTGGAGATTAAACAGTGGTCCCTGACTACTTCTTCTTAATTGCTGCTTCCGCAACAAAAGTCATAAACAGTGAGGGGTCCCTGACTCGGTGCCTTTTAGTTTGGTACCTTCCATGGCTTAGACCGGGGGTCCCCTTTTTGAGCCTGTGGACACTTTTGGAATTCTAATACAGGATGGTTGTGCAACCACAAAATGGTTGCTGCAGGAAGTGGAGCCACACACACACACAGAGTGCAGAGGAGAAAGGGGTAATTCTGAAAATGCCCTGGGAAAGAGGAGGGTGAGGGAGAGAATAAAACCAACACTGTGGTAGCAGCTGCCACTGAAGAAAGATTTTTTAAATCTCTGCAGCCAATCAGATCCCCAGTAGCCAGTGAGAAGCCATGCTGGGCAAGAGCCCCACCCACTCTCTGAAAACACATGGCAGGTGCTAGGAAAGGGGTCAGCAGGCATTATGGTACCCATGGGCGCCATATTGAGGACTCCTGACTTAGACCCTTGCTTAATTATTCACTTGTATATGGGGAAGTGTTTTGCTGATTCCCACTCTCTCCCACTGGTGTTCCCCACTGTCTCCCCCCCGCCCGCCCCCAGCTCCATGTTGCACCCCAGGCATCAGTGCAGAATGTCTTGGGCTATGCAGCTGGAGGGGAGAATTGGGGGGGGGGAACCCTTCTGGTGGCGGAAGTTCCTTCTGCAAGCGGAAAACTTATGATTCTAGCGACTGTTTTAGTGAGCGCAAAGGAAAGAGACTAATCTGTAAGGTGTCTTTTGTGTAGCTCCTTGCTCGACTGAAAGGAAACTTAGAAGAAGAGAATCATCATCTCTTGAGTCAGATCCAGATGCTGAGCCAGCAGAACCAGATGTTGTTGGAGCAGAACATGGAGAACAAGGAACAGTATCATGAGGAGCAGAAGCAATATATGTAAGAGCCTCACTGAGTTTTCTTATTTGTCTTGTTGTCAGATTGGTGAATGCTGAAACATGGTGAAAAGGAAGGAGAATAATTGTTTGCCCATTGGGTCAGATTAGGAAGACTGAAAACTGTTCAAGTAAGCAAGTGACACTGTGGAGTAATTGTGTATGATCACTTTTACAGCATCTATTTAGCAAAAATCCCGACCACCCATTAGCACTTAGGGCAGGCAGTAGATAAACTAGTCCAGAGGACCAGGCAAGTTAAACAGAATGGTGATTGTCTTAAGTCTGCCTTGCTGATGCTGACTAGAACCCAGCTGTGTGGACATTTTAGATTCAGATCTCTTCCTCTCCACTAAAAACAACCCCCCCCCCGGTGTTTTCTTAGGATTTTATTTCTTTAAACATTTCTATACCACCTTTCAACCCAAACAAGGTCCCCAAGGCAGTGAACATTAAAACAGCATTTAAAACAATACATAAAACAACTTAATAAAACATATAAACACACATTAGTGTCTTAGAATTCCCATTTACACCTTTTGTCCGCAGAGGAAACTCTTCTTGATAGTTTCCATCCCAGCTTAATTCATAGGGTTAGGGGTGGATCCAGGAGAGGGCGGGGTTTGGGGAGGGGAGGGGCCTCAGCATAGGACAATGCCATAGAGTCCACCCTTCAAAGCAGTCATTTTCTCCAGGGGAGCTGATCTCAGTCAGCTGGAGATCAGTTGTAAAAGCGGGAGATCTCCAGGCCCACCTAGAGGCTGGCAACCCTATTAATCCATACTGTTAATTATTTCTGCTTTGTGACCAAGAAGGCTTTGTAATCACTCCAGATCTAGCCACAAGTACACTGACTTTTGTCTCCTGGAAACTTGTGATGGCTCAGTTTTTAATTATACCTGGTTCCCAGCAAATAGGACCCTTGAAAGTGCTAACGTGTTTTCCCTACCTCACTCTCTTTTTGGTTTTCAACAGCGATAAACTAAATGCCTTAAGGAGAAACAAAGAAAAACTGGAAGAGAAAATCATGGATCAATATAAGTTTTATGACCCAGCTCCAAAAAAGTAAGTTTTCTTTTAAGATTAAAATGGCACTGAAGCAAGCCGGGGTTATGAAGGAAGTCATCTCTTTATTTAGGTATGATCCATTTGCAAGTAGAAAGGTGGCAATTGGAAGTACATTCTGTTTCCCACAGTGTCGAAATTGCATTAACAGTTGCCTGAGCTTCTTCGGATAAGATGTGGGGAATTTGTTGCAATGTCATCTGGTCATAATTTGTAACTGCACAACTGGTATGAGGTTTAGATTCCGGTACTTGTATGTGGCTTTGTAATAGGCAAGGATAGGGTTAACCTTAACGTGATTGATTATGTTTGGTGAGCCTCAGTCCTTTTCCCCAGTAGAGTTTTTAAAGCAATATGGGGAATCCCAGCCATTTTTAATGGCTGCATTCAGATTAAAATGTTAATCAGAAAGCCCCAGATAATGCACAACAAATGTTAAAATCATGAGATTGTTGTCTGTTTACTCACAAGGTAGACTAGGGGTTTTTTTCCAGGTGTGCCAACAATAAAAAGAGGGAGGGGAGTCATCTTACATCCCCATACAAGTTACTAGTGTGTACAGTATAATATTTTGTTTCTGTATAACATTTTTAGCAGTGTCTTTCTTGTGGTTAAATACATTATATCATAGCCCCATTAGATACCTTGTGCTGAACATTTGAACAATACCTGATGTGTAGTTTTAACTTTAACTGCAGCATGAAATCCCTAACCGTCTTGCCTGCTTCTTGACTGTCAGGCCAGTTTGCCCTTTTTTTTAAATGGTGGGGATCAAGAAAAATAAACGAGGTAATACGTTTTTCTAAAAATGTAAAGAGCACAACTGACTCCTTCTCTCATTCAATATCTTCTGCCGCTAATAGGAAGAACCACTGGATAGGAGCTAAAGCCTTGGTTAAATTCATAAAGCCAAAGAAAGAAGTGACAAGAGAACGGTTGAAATCTTCGGCAGAGAGCCCGCCGCCGTGGCATTTGGAAAGTGCAGAGACAGCAGGATCTCCGCCTCCCTCCCAGTGGCCCAAGCAGCAAGAGACTCTGGATAGCACTTCTATAGGTTCAAACTCTGCGGAAGGCAGGGAACAGAATAATGGGTCTGCAGGCAAAGGTAGGTGTGATTTTTACGTAACAGGTAGTTTAATGCTGAAGAGTTTGTGCTGGCGTGGATTGCTAGCAAATAAAATAAAAAGATTAAAGGATACAAATCCACCTCAGTATCAGGACTTGAAAGACTCAATATCAATGGAAAAGTTAAGCACATCACTTCTTATGGGCAGGATAAAATTAATACTCGTGCACATTTCAGCAAAACAGGGTTAACAGCCTAGAGAATGGGAGTAGCCTGCCTTGCAGGTAGGGTTGCCAGCCTCCAGGTGGGGCCTGGGGATCTCCAGCTTTTACAACTCATCTCCAGCTGACAGAGATCAGCTCCCCTGGAGAAAATGGCTGCTTTGAAGGGTGGACTCTATGGCATTGTACCATGCTGAGGCCCCTCCCCTCCCCAAACCCCGCCCTCTCTTGGATCCACCCCCAAAGTCTCCAGGTGTTTTCCAACGCAGACCTGGCAACCCTACTTGCAGGGGGAAAGGTAGAGGTTGAGATAATTTTGGGTGTGTGGGTGTGTGTTGATTTCACTCCCTGTGTCCATGGCCTGACCTACTAGTGCAGTAGAATTGACATAGTAGAATGGATGGAAACACAGATTTCAGGAGAGAGAGAACCACATTTTTGGAAAGGGATGCAATCCATCTTAACATGTGTGTTAATGCAAACTTCTAAAACTAAGACTACAAAGAAGGTGGCGGGTGCTGGGACAGCGAACATGTAACGTTTCTGATCCCAGTTGGGAGAGTGAAGAACAAGCCGTCAGCTTCCACTGCCTCCCCCTTCCTCTTTCCCTCACGTGCCAAAAGTCAGTCATTTAGTTCCTGTCTAGTGCAGGAACTGTCTTGGTTTACTGTTGCATCTAAAGTGCATTTAAATCTGAAATAGTTTTAATCATTTGCTGTTTGAGATACTACGGTAGACTTTGATTTGGGCTGTAGGAAGTAGCTAATTTATTCCAAGCATGTGAGGAGGTTGTACAGAACTCATTCCCTGTCCTCCAGTTCAGGCACTGGAGAATTAGGAACCTAATGTGTGAGCCAAACCAATGTCAGCAAAAAAAAAGAAAAAAAGAAAAAAGCTACGGGGAATCTCCAGGTTGATGCAAGCAGGGTTCCAGGGTCCCTTTGTGCTTTCCAGTGATGGACAGAAGCAAACAGTGCAATCTTGAGAATTTAGAGACCCTTTGGAGGGAGTGTCTTCAGTGGAATCCCTTTAAGCTGGAGGAGGCAGGGCTTGCAAACTGAGGACTCTGGTACACCTGAGAAACTTGGCTCCTCCATGCAAAGTAGAGTAACTGTGTTGGAGCCCATCCCCCTCTGTAGCTGGTACTGAAAAACTGATGAATTCTTATTTACACTCATGTCAGAATCTAGCTTTTTGCAGTGTTAGATCTTTGGATAGGGTGCTGTTAAGCACAGAATATGCTGAGATCACATCCATCACTTATTAGTCTACTAAGAATGGGTTGGTATAGTGCTGGTAGCTCTGTATTTATCAAATCCTTTTGCATTTCTGCTTTTGATCTACTTCTTGGTTTCTAAGCCTAAACCTGTGCTGAGTTATTCCAGTCTAAGCCATTCAAATCGCTGAGATTAGACTAGAGGAATTCTTCATAGGGATGTACTGTTATATAATAAGCTCTGTTTCTAAATGGAGGAGAATTATCCATTTTATGGCACCTTAGTACAACTCCTCCACCCCCTCCCCCATGTGAGGTTCAACTGTAAAACCAGACAACTGGACACTTGTCACAATTGAAGGTGTAAAACAAAGGAAATAATATGTGTTCAACAATAAACAATCACAAACGATTTTATCAAAATATAATAAAGAGGACACTGTCCAATGTAATACAAATATAATGAAATTAAATATAACATGTTTTACATACCACAGGACATAAATAATATTTAAATTATATGAACTCATACACCAGAAACTCCAGTAATATAGAACACAATCTCTCAGTTTTAATAGTCCCACAGGAGTTCAAGGATTCGCTGGAACCTGGTGGATTAACTAATTATAGGTTCCACTGATTTATTTATTTTTTACGCGTAAACTAGCTGATAAAAAGCCGTATTTCATCAAAGGCTTCTTCACAAAGATGGAACTCTTACGTTTTTTGCTCCAAAGGGAAAAATTTCACCAACATGATGTTTCCTTGCACAGTTTATGGTAAACGGGTGCTTAACAGTGTGGGGAGAGGAAGGGAAGGCGATTGTAAGCCACTCTTGAGACTCCTTCGGGTAGTGAAGAGTGGGGTATAAAAACCTACTCTTCTTCTTCAGTTTTACACATTGCCAGGTAGGAATCTATGTGAAACCTGCATATAAATTATCATGTATGGCTATACTACTCGGGTGTTTTGGGGATGGGTTGCTGCATGTATGCACATTGTGTATATGTTGGGGAGCCTTATCTAGTTGCAACTTACCAACATGTGGCGGGGGGGGGAAACATGTTTGGCAGATACATGCTGTGACTCTACTTCTTGGCTTAAGATTAATTCCTACTCAAATGTATGCTCCGCATGGAACAGCCCTCAGATACTTAATTTTGCATAAAGGAAAAACCGTGTGCATCTGGGAATTCCGTCCAACATGCTTTCACTCCATGTGTATAATAAATAATATGTTGATGAAGAAATTCGGGTTTGGCTTGCAGTTAATGTGGTGCTGCTTTGTAAATGGGAGTAAAGAAAATAACAAAAGTGACTTATTTGTATGAAGTTAGGATGTATGTTCATTCCTAGATAATAGAGACTGCACTGTTAGAAGTGGTTGCTGTAGAAGTAATTCAATCCTGGTTTTAATGTTTAGATGGTCTCTAAGTTGTGTGAAATGTATTTTAGTTATTCCTGATCTTTTTTTTCCTTCCTTCTTCTTTTTGGGATCTCTGGGTGATAACATTTAGCTGCTCCACGCAAAAAGATTCCCTTTTTGAGAAGCACAAGCAAGCCCAAAGAGAAGCCTCCTAAGTCTCCATCGACTCATTCATCTCTCTCTAATCGCCTCTGGTTCTGGTCGTCTTCTGACAGTCCATCTTCTCCTAACGAGCCACTTTCTTTCTCGGACATGGGAGCTCTCTAACACCTTCTCTTATTGTTTATTTTCAATACATTTCTGTTTTTTTTAATTAAACCTGCAACCTCTTCAGACACACACACCATCCTTTATCTGTTCAATAATCACGGGCACAAATTAGCACCAAGACCAGATCAAGTTGACATGGACTACATGTTTTGTTTCCCCAATAAGACGAAGAATCTTTCTTGCACAGTCTGGACCGTTTCTTCAGTGCAGTACACTTTAAAGAGACCCATGACATACAGTGCCCATATGTTTACAGTGCCACTGACGATGGCACACATCTTAAGTAAGTGAACTTGCTGTGTGCTTCAGTGATGTTTTGCTATCACAGATGTGCCTCATGTCCTGTCCAGATGTGGAAATGGCCCGCTATTGTTGCTTTGTTGCCAACAGTGCATCCTCCTTTATATAATTTGCCTAGTCAACATTAAGGGCTCCTTATATTTCACAGACCTTTTGCAATATCCCCTCTCCCAGTCCCCAGTCCCGTATATGCTATTTGTCTCTTCTCTGCTACTGTGCAATATACACATGGAAATGGAGTGATCTCTACTCTGGCTTGCCAAGAAAGACTGACAGTGAGTTGGATCAGTGAGTGCCCTTCTGCTATTGGAAAGAGCCATTCCATGACTGCTAGGGCTCCCTGTGGCTTGAATCCATACCACTGTAAGCCTCCAGACATCCTAACCTGATCTTACTTTTGTTTTTTTAAAGAAAAATGCTAGGGGAGCTCTGTTGTCAAAATGTGCAGAACACCTGTAATGAACAAACAAGCACCCTGGCAATGGATTCTTGTCATGCACCTTATATGTGCAAAGTTTGTGGTAGACGCTAAGCAGCGGCTCTATATAATATACCAGCAGTTGTTACTGCTTGTTGTTATAAGCAACTGGCCTTTGCAAATCCACTGCATGGCATATGCATGTGTCCATCTTTCTGTAACACATAAGACCTTAGCTTAGGTACCTTTTGAATCAATCCAAATCAGGTTTACTCAGGAGTAAGTCCCATGTTAATTCTATGAGGCTTATTCCCAGGAAAGGGTCCTTAGGACTACGGCCTCCCCTTGGGAGCGCAGTGTCTGCTTGCCCCCTCTGAATCCTCCTCTGTAACTAGAGCATCCTTATCCTGTTCCACTGCCTTGGAAGTGGTGGTTCTTCTTCTTTTCCCCTTTGGGCTAATAGAAAATGCTACACACCAGCCTTTTGGCTTGCTCTCAGCTGGCCTTGGCTTGTTGGATCCCATAAATATTTGGTTGGATGACTCTGCAAGGCCCTGGAATGTGGGACCTGTTGGATAAGGTGTTTGCTGGCCACATTATGGCAGCACACACCCTTGGCCATTCCACCGCACATTACACATTGTGAAAATTCAGGGGAAACCGCACCGCTTCAAAACCCTTTTCACTAGCTTTTTTTTTTAATGCACTTTAACTAATCTGTGTCTTTCGTGCTAACTGCATTTCTCTGTCATCTGTGCCAGCCATTTGTTACTTGTCTTATTTATTTCCATGAATTCCATGCCTTTGTTGACATAGAGTTGCTGTGGAAAAAACATTGGGCAAACAGGCACTTGCTTCCCATCTGAGCTCATCTTGAATGTGTTGGTTATGTACATTGCTCTTTTTTTTTTTTTAACGGGCACCTTTAGGCGTTGCAGACTTTTGTTCTGTTTAAATTCTACCTTGTTCCTGTTGTAAATAATTTTAGCATTGACACGGGAGACCATTTAAATTGTAAGTAAACCCCCCAGCCTCACTAATACCACCCTGAAAAAAGCTTTCCGTTGAAAGAATACTCAATGGGAAACACGATCTCTTGCAGGAACAACATGTTGTATAAAAGCCATTAAAGATTCCGAGCCTCTTCTATTGTCATCAGGCATGCGTCACCCCAGCTGCTTAAACGCAAGGAAATAGCATTTGGACAACTTGATCCTATGTATATTTACTTGGTAGTAAGTCCTACTGAGCTTGTGTACGGAACTCCCTTTGTGTTCAAGAGGGCTTACTCCGAAGTAAGTGCATGACGTTGCAGCCTTAGAGGACCTCCCCCCCCCCCGCATTTGTGCTTTGGCTCCCCCTTTTCCGTAATATGTGTAAACGTTCCTCCTTCTTTCTCTCATCAGTTCTTCAGTGAGCTGGCATCTGTTTGCAGGACTGGATGTAAATGTGTGATCTCTGATTGTTTCACTGATGGAGTTTACATAGTCAGTGTCTCTTTTGTGCCTCTTGTTTTGTTCCTGCTTGCTGCTTTTATGGGATGATTAGACACACGTTTTGTGCTGGTGTGCATTATTATTATTTTTGTCTCCTTTCCCCCGGTTTGACACCAGTGGATTCAAAGCAGAAGAGAGTTTCTCATTACGGAAGCAGCAGCGACTACACTGAAAATGCTCTCAGGCACTGCTATGTGGAGCCAAGTTCCAGGATTCACTCCGCGTCAACCACCTTTTTGGCCACTTCTACTCCTACCTCTAGAGCACAAACCAGACCCAAAGGTATGTGGCACGTCCCATCTCTCTGCTCATCAGTACCTCTACTTCAGTAAGATTGAACCTCCCGTTTTGGAAGAGCTGTCCTTATTCAAAGGACATGATGTGCAGGTGTTGCTTCCGCTGATTTCCCTGATTTGGGGGAAGAGGGCAGCAGCTTGACTGGCTTGGCTTTCAGATTGGCAGAAGCCTTTTAAGGGATTTCCCAAGTCGCAAATATGCTAGGTAAGAAGGTGCATTTAAGAGCATGTTCTAAGTACTTGACTTGCTGTGTTTTCGACCCCAGTGTTTCAAACAGGCATGCCATGGGATAGGAAACCCCAGTGCAGCTTCTCTCCCCTCCCGTGAGTCACCTTCTGTGTTAGTGCTGAGGGGCAGAGACAAAATGGTTTGGGATAATGTATTGGAAATTGCTTCTGGTTCAGTGTTAAGAGTTCCGCACAGGTCCTCCTGCTCTATGCTACTGTCTTCTTCTAATGGGTGTGTGTTGTCTCTGAGCAGTAGAGTTGATATCTGAACTGGACGTTGGGCTGACCTATGGTCCCTGCATAAGTTTGGTGTAGTGGTTTGGAGCGGTGTAGTGGTTAAGAGCGGCAGACTCTAATCTAGAGAACCGAGTTTGATTCCCCTTTCCTCCACATGCAGCCAGCTGGGTGACCTCGGGTCAGTCACAGTTCTCTCAGAGCTGTTCTCACAAGAGCAGTTCTTTCAGAGTTCTCTCAGCCCCACCTACCTCACAGGGTGTCTGTTTTGGGGAGAGGAAGGGAAGGCAATTGTAAGCCACTCCGAGTGAAGGGCAGGGTATGAATTCAACTCTTCTTCTTCTTCTTTAAACATGTGGCTAGTTATGCAAAACAGCTTCAGTCCTGCCTGTATTAGCCCATGTCTTTTCTGCGGTTACCATCTTGGCTAGTCGAGTCGTCTGTTCTTAAGGATATTGAATGCTCCTATCTGCCATTGTGCCTTTTCTTTTTGTTTTTTTTGTTTTTGGCAGGCTACAATTCAGATGGCGATCTGTGTAAAAACTTCCCAGAGGCAGAATTTTCAAACAAACAGCACAGTAAGTTTGCCCACAGAGAAGTTAGTCATAACTCTCTCCTTTTTGTCTTTGGCTTTATCTCTCACTCTTGATGAGACAAAGGGTGGGGCACCGCATCACTCATTTTGGGCATGGCCCCCCAGGTTCAGTCACAGCCAGACTGTTTTTGATAATGACTCTGCGGAAGACCGACCTCCCCACACACCCCTTAAATTTGGCGGGGTGTGTGCATGTGCATTTGTACACTCTAAATAACTATTATTGCAGGAGGGGGCACATAGTTCAGCAGGTGAGTACATGCATGGGGAGAGTCCCAGGTTCAATTAATGCCACCTACGTTTTAAGGAATCTCTAGTCAGCAAGGCTAAGGAAGAGCTGTTCCTGGGACCTTGGAGAACTGCTGCCCATTAAAGGGGGGGGGGATGGTCTAACTAATCACAAAGCAACGTTTTAGTTTGCTTGCGCACTGAGTTCTCACATGTGCTTCACATGCATTACTTCAGCAGTCTTCCAAGTCAGCCCAGTAAGATAGGTTATACACCCATGTTGCAGAGTGGATCTGAGGGTAAGAAGATGTATGCTTGCCTAAGAGCACTTACTTGAGTTCATGGATGAGGCTGAGATGACATGTGCATTGGTGGATCTCCCCGCTCACATATTCACCACACTGTACCTGTTCTCTAAGAGGAGCGGAAGTTGTAACGCTGGAATGTTGCCACATGGGAGGCATCTGCACTGCAACAGCCTTCCAGCAGGTGGCAGCGTGTGCCCAGAAATGCTGCTCCAGAAACAGTTCCGTAAATTTTGATTTTTGTTTCTTTTTAACGTCTGTGTGTGTTTTATCACATTATGGCTTGGTTCAGATACAGTATGAAACTGTTTATTTTAACTGTGGTTTGTTTGTAAAATCGAGATTCCATTCACAGACCATTACCCAAAGCCCTGGTTTAATTCAGCAAATATTGGTTTCATTTCCTTCTCTCTCTTGTCTGGGAAAGCATTTCCCTGATGACAAGCCAGGAGCTCTGCATCTGGATAATCCAGGAGCCAGGAGCTCTGCATCTGGATAATCACTGACTTACAAGCCAGGAGCTCTGCATCTGGATAATCACATGAAAATATAGCTAAGACTGACTCCAGATCCTGGTTCGATAGATTCTAACTAACCTTAATTAGTGAAGTGGCCTCTATTTAAGACAGTCCCCCTAACTGTAGTTTGTTTACTTAAATGATTGCTTAGCACAGTGTCTGAATTTAGTGCACATGAATAAGGTGCGTGTGTTTAAAGGACCAACAGTCACCTTGAATAATTAGGATAGGTCTACTTTGCTATTTAATAGGTGAACGTCAATCCACAGAAAATGTGCTTTTCCTTCCCCGTCAATTCATGCAGGAAAAGCACAAAAAGGTGTTTCATCATGCCTCCTACTACCTGCTTTACAGGGCCGTCCTAAAACACCTTTCTTGGGACTAAACCTCATTGGATAGACCTGACTAGGATTCTGAGTAGATTCTGTGTTTCTTCTTAGGACGGCACTGTTCATGGGGCATAACCGTTTTGTACACTGGAGACTGCTTAGGGCTGGGATCGTTTTCATTGTTGTGGCTGTATCTGCACTTGGGAACCCCTGGTGCCTGAAGGAGCCTCACCTTTCAGACCAAATAAATAAATAAATTCCAACCAATCTTTCGTTTGCATTCAGAACATTTACTTTCATAAAACCTGGTCATGTTAAAAAAAAATCACCTTATAAAAACCACCTTGGTATGTAAGCAATACAATACCTGAGCAGTTGGCTATGCCGTGTTAGTATTTAATTGCTATAGCAAAAGGCATTGTTTCAGGTCCACATCCTACATATTTATTTAGTTTCATAACTTTATACCCCACCATTCCTTAGAGAAAACCGGGACTCATTTGGGGCTCTTCATGGGGCTATGGGTCAATGTTAGAAGAACATCTGGTTTGCCTCCAAAGGGTCTCTGGCACTTCTAGTTAAAAATATCTGGCATTTCTAGTTAAAAACCGGGTTCGCTGGTAATGTGAAAGGTCTCTAACCGAGACCCTGGAGAAATGCTGCCAATCAAAGTAGAAAAGACTTGGTATAGAGTCACTTCATGTGTTCATCAAGGTTCTAATCCAGTCCACAGCTGCATACAAATCATCAGTGCTTTCAGCCTCTGGAGTCCCCAGTGACTATAACTAGAAAGAAATAAAGATTTCTTAATTGGTACCAAAGGTATTTCGTTGAAGATCATAAGAAAAGTATTCTCCTAACTTTCACCTCACTTCCTTCTGATTTGATTTCAGTATTATTGACCTCACTTTCATTCTATTATGTTCCTCTCCCCCTCCCCTCTGCAGCATCCAAGCCAAATAGCTTAGAAAACAGTGAAAATGCATCCACCAGTAGCTCCCCTCTAAACCTGAAAGGTGAGACTTGCTGATAAATTTGGTATATTCATTTTTATGGGCATAACTGTTAACTGTGAGTCATGGCTATTCATCAAACCAGCTCGTGTGGTCATACAGTTTGCAGAAAGCTATTTTTAAAACCTTAATCTCTCTGGGCAAAGCCCACATCACTTCCTGTTCTATATAGCATTTGCATGTGGCTGGGTTCAAATAAATGTGTAAAGATTTCACCAGTGTTTTCACTGGTTCTCCAGACAAATTTGGTAATGCTGAAAGACAACTTTGCAGTGTATGTGGGGGGCGGGGGAACAAAGAGGTAATTTTGGTGTGTTGGAATCTCCTTGTGCAGGTTCTTTCGACCGTATTCGTGGAAGATCAGAGAGCCTCAGTGGCGATGACATGGGGCAGAGTAAAGACATGACCGGTTTGTGTAGAGATGGGCTTTTTAGTCCTAACTCTTTGGCTGTTGCGGCCTCTAACACTAAGCACAGGAGTGGCTTGTTCTCCAGTGACGGACCTCAGAGAAATGTCCACACACAGCCTGTTAAGCACCGATCTGCCTCTCCAGGGAGTGAGATGGTAACTCTGGAAGAATTCCTGGAAGAAAGCAACCGGCTATCACCACTAAACGTAAGCAGATTTAAGCTTCTGCCTGTGCAATAATGCATACAGTTGGGATTACAAATCTCTATACTGGGAGATCCAGGCTGACTTGATTAGCGAGGCCCTCAGTGGTCAGTAGTGCAGAAAGGTAAGGATTTCTGTGTTAGGCGATGAGATTGACTAATTCAGAGGTGTTCAACCCGTGGGTCAGGAACGGTCATAGGATGGTATTTTTTGGATTGTGAACACCAATAAATATATATATATATATTTGCCCTTGATTAGCGAGGCCCTCAGTGGTCAGTCGTGCAGAAAGGTAAAGGATTTCTCTTTTGGCTGGACCGGCTGCTGGTGTTCATACATAGAAAGCCAAAGCACACTAAGAAGAGCATTGTGACAATGTGAGCATTTAGCACAGGTAGGTTCAGAGAAACTGGCTCCTCTTCTGCCTGTCACAGGCCTTCCTGCTATGTGCTTGCAGCTTCCTAGATCTCATGTTGCTGCCTGAAGTTAGAGGTGAGTTCTGAGTCTGGGAAGGTTGAAGATCAGTGCTCTAGAATGTATGATGCTAGAGTTTGTTCTTTTCGTGATCTAACCAAATACAGATTAGCCAGAATTCCATTAGTGATTTCCAAGTGACTAGGACTAGTAAGCTTCGGAGGCTCCCGCTTCCCAAATTCTTCTGCCTGACGCCACCACCTCATTTCGCCTCACTATAGGATCAGCACTGTTTACTCGTAATGTTGCAGATAATTGCTAGGTGACCGTCTTGAAAAAGCTAAATTGGTGTGTTCACATGATGTTTGCATTCCTTTTCCTGTCCTTGTGTTTCTTCTTAGGACATGTCAAGCAGAGATGACTTGCTGAGTGACTATTTCAGAAAAGCGAGTGAACCTTCCTCTACTGGCAATCAGCTCTCTCAGGCAAAGAGGAAGGAGGCCACCAAGATGCCTACCAGCTACGTCACTCCCACTGTCAAGATGCCGGTTGCTAATGAAGATGGAAGGCTCCCCAAACCAGGGCATTACGTCAAACCAAGCCCTAGACTGGCTGAATCTGAGCTTCTGGCCAACTCAGCAGGTTCCCACAAACTGACCCATGCATCTCAAAATCAACCCAGCAAGGGGATAAGGCAGACGGCACAGCCCCTGCAACCCAGTACCACAAGCAGGCAGAGCACATCGCTGAATCGAGCTTTCAGCCTAGCTTCAGCAGACCTCCTCAAAGCCACTGGTCCAGAGACATACAGGCGCTACGAGAGCCTTCCAAAGTCTGTGGCTGCAGACTCCCGGACAGGCAAGGACGTAAACAGCCAGACTCTGCCACTCCCTTCACCTGCCAGCTCTCAGGTCCCCCTCAGAGAGAGGCCACAGTCTGCGAAGCTGGGGGGCTCTTTGCAGGGTGTCGATGCACGCTGCCGACAGCTTGATGTTCGACGCCTCTCACTGGCTCCTCCAAAAGATGAGAGGCCGCTCCCGTTCCCCCCATTTTCTGGCTCTCCTGCTACTTCCAATGATGATCTAACCTGTCAGTCGCTCGAGCAGGCAAACGCAGGATTGGAGCAGCACCGTCTTTCCCCTCATGCTACTTCAAAAATCAAACCCAAGTCGACTGCTCGGTCGGGGGAAGTAGCCACCGTAACTCCTGTCAGAGTTGTCTCCAGCAGCGCTGAGGGGAACGTCTCCCCAGCACTAACCCCAAGTGACACCCCCATTACCAAATGCCAGAGCCGATCTCCAGAAAATAAAACTCTGTCAGGAAGTACTGAAGAAGCAAGCAGAGCGGCTGTCTCCAAGAACCCATCAGCGTCACCAGATCCCCATAGTGACCAGCAGACTGTTTGGTATGAATACGGCTGTGTCTGAGGCCTCCTCTCTTCCCCTACTGACTCAGCTGCAATTCCCTGAAAGGGGTATAATATTTGCATTACTACTGAAAACTGGGTGGCTGCTGTTGTCTCGGCTGCCTTGGATTTGCTAAAGCTGTGTTCGAACAAATACATTGGCATGCCTGAGGTGAAAGACTGAATTGCCAAATATGGTTGCTCTTACGCTCAGAAGGTCCCGTGAACAGCTAGGATACGCACACTTCTCCCCACCTCCCACTTGAAAGCCAGGCAGTTAAGCCAAACTCTCAAAACATCGTGGGCCGCAGACCACATATCTTCCTTGTATCTCCTCCCCTGTTGTCAATAAATCACACTTATGCCAGTGTGTCTGTCTACTGACCTCGGGTCCTTACTGAAGATATTATTTAGTACAGCAGATACAATCTCTCCCCCCCCCCTTAAAGAACACAGTGTTCCTTTGCACATTTTAAAAGAAATCTGTGAGTCACCTTTTGCTAGTGGTCCTGATTTGAGTAGGATTCTGTTTCAGCCTCTTTCTCTGATGGCCTTCACAGCTATATTATAGAGGCCTATTCGACACCCTGGCTTTCGCTGCATCTGCCTTGGAGTGCCAGAGAAGTGCTGTGTTTTGGATCTCTGTTAAATGTTTTATGCAAAACACTGGAACCGATTTACTCCTTGTGTGTGTGTGTGTGTGAGAGTGAATGAGAGAGATAGAGAGGATGTCTTCTTTAAATGGCACAGTCAGGCAGCTCTGCCTGCACTAGTCTGACACGTTCATCAATGTGTACGTGAAACATTAAGTCCCTACGTGGCACTGCTTGCGTATCTATGGAGCGTGTGCCGTCAGTCTGTTTGCCTCCTAGTAATGTGTCCAGCTGCTTGTCTCTCCAATGATGCACAGCAGTTTGTTTGATTGGATTTCACAGCTGCTGCCGGCTTCCAACAAGCTTGTGCCATTGGGCCCATCTCGTTCAGCAGTCATGGATATCCTTTTTTTTTTTTAAGCTTCGCTTCTGTCTCAGTCAACTTGATCTGTGTAGAAACCAAAATGAATTTTATATGCACATGGAAAGAAATACCTTTTATTATATTTATGCCCAGATTAAGCTTTTTACATTTCAGGAGTTCTGTTGGCTGCTTGTGTATATGGTGTGTGTGTGTGTGTGTATGTTTCTGTTTGCTGTTTTGCTTGTACAGAGATGCTTCCTTTGCAGCAGGCAAAATTCTAACAGCTGTAAAACTTCTCTTAACATTTTGATTTCCCCGCAGTAGCGAGAGCGCATGCAGTCTGTAACAAATGACACACAACCAGCAAGTAGTGTGTGTATTGTATTGTAGGGCGTAGCGGTCTCTTGTGAAAAGAGCAAGATTGTTTATAATAAAGCCTTTAAAAACTAGAGTTCTGTCTGTGTGTTTACTATCCCGAGACTGGTGGAGGAGAACGTCTGCAGCAGGGGTCCCCAACATGGGGCCTATGGGTGCCGTGGTGCCTGCCAAAACCTTTTCTGGTGCCCGCCAAGGCTTTTTAGGAAGTAGGCGGGGCCAGATTTTCATAGAATCATAGAGTTTGAAGGGACCTCCAGGGTCATCTAGACCAACCCCTGCACAATGCAGGAAATTCACAAATGCCTCCTCCACACACACCCAGTGATCCATGCCCAGAAGATGGCCAAAAAAACAACAACCCTCCAGGATCCGTGGCCAAACTGGCCTGGAGAAAAATTGCTGCCTGACCCCAAAGTGGTGGTCAGCATTTCCCTGGGTGTGTGAGAAAGGGCCACAAGAACTAAGGACTGAGGCAACCCTTCCTGCCCTCCCTGTCATGATGTGCCTGAGTTCACAGAATCTGCGTTGCTGTCAGATGGCCATCTAGCCTCTGTTTAAAAACCTCCGAAGACGGATAGGCCACCACTTCCTGCGGAAGCCTGTTCCACTGAGGAACCACTCTGTCAGGAAGTTCTTCCTAATGTTTAGCCGAAAGCTGTTCTGACTTAATTTCAACCCATTGACCTTCTGGGGCAACAGGAAACAACTCCAAACCATCCTCTATATGACAGCCCTTCAAGTACTTGAAGATGGTTATCGCATCACCTTTCAGTCATCTCTCCAGGCTAAACATACATTGCCCAGCAAGGCTTCTGATTGACTATTGGAGATTTGATTGGCTACGCGGATTTTTTTTTTAATGTTGCTTTGGCAGCTGTTGCCAACACAGCACAAATGTCTGCACCATGTTACTGAAGTTCAGCTGTGGCAATCATTTTGTGGCTGACTCTGCCTCCTGCAGCAGCCGTTTTGTGGCTGTTCCCGCCATGCCATGTCAAAATGCCAAATGTGCCTGCAGGCTCAAAAAGGTTGGGGACCCCTGTTCTATGGCAAATATAATCTACTGGCCAGAGACAGGTCTTGGAACTGGGGTGCTGAGGATTCCCTTTGGTTTTGCTTTTAGTCGACACTGAATCACTCTGAAAAGGCAAGATAAAAATGCAGGGTTGTTGTTTTTAAGCTATTGTATAGCACATTGTTACATAGGGACAGTTGGTCCTAGCTACAGCATCTGGTGTGAACAATAAGAATCCTAGTACAAAATTATAATGTTTCAAAGTGTATTATATTGTTACAGCATTGTTATCCCACTATTCATCCAGGAACTCAGTGTGGCATACTTGATACTCCCCCTCTTCCGTGTTATCTTCACAAGAACTCCAAAACTGAGCCCCGTGGTACCCCAACCGCTTACCACCTTCCACTGTGAAAACTGCCCATTTATACTCATTCTCTGTTTCCTGTTGATTAACCAGTTTTGAATCCACAAGAGGACTTGTCCTCTTATCCCATGACTGCTGAGTTTACTTAGGACCCTTTGATGAAAAACTTTATCAAAAGCTTTCTGGAAGTCTAGGTAAAGAACATCTACGGGCTCACCTTTGTCCACATGTTTGTTCACCTCCTGAAAGAACTCTAAAAAGTTAGTGGAACAAGATCTTCCCTCATGTAATCCATGCTGATTTTTCTTCTATAGCTGTTGTTCATTAAATGTGCCTACTAATTTTATCTTTAGTAACGGATTCCACCAATTTACCTGATAATTTCCTGGATTTCCTCTCAAACCTGAAATCAGCAGTTCTGGAGTGAGCAAGCACCTCCCATCTTCCACAGTGAAGACAGAGGCAAAAATGCATTCAGCTTCTCTGCCATTTCCCTATCATCCTTTAGTAATCCTTTTACCCCTTGGTCATCCAAGGGCCCCACTGCCTCCCTGGCTGGTTTTCTGCTACTAATGTATCTGAAGAAATTTTTATTGTTGGTCTTTATGTTTTTTGCTATATGTTCTTGTTCGTTAACAATGCAGGCCTTTTTTTATAACTATTCATACCTTTCCTAATCTGCAGTAAACATTTTATCTGAGCTTCCAGGATTGTAGTTTTAAATATTCTTCAAGCTTCCCAGAGGGATTTGACCCTTCTTACCTTTCAGTTTCTTCTTCACAAGCCCTCTCATTTGAGAGAAGTTGCCCCTTCTAAAGTTAAATGTACTGGTGTTGGTCTTTTGGGGCAACTGCCTATTTTTATTGTTGTTCAGTCGCACAGTTGAGTCTGACTCTTCGCGATCCCATGGATCGCATCACGCCAGGCCCTCCTGTCTTCCGTTGTGCTCTGGAGTTTGCTTAATTTCATGTTCGTTGCCTCGGTAACACTATCTAACTGTCTCATCCTTTACCATCCCCTTCTTCTTTGACCTTCAATCTTTCCCAGCACCAGGGTCTTCTCCAGTGAGTGCTCCCTTCTCATTTGGTGGCCAAAATATTTGAGCTTCCGTTGTGCTCTGGAGTGTGGCCAAAGTATTTGAGCTTCAGCTTCAGTATCTGGCCTTCCAGGGAACAGTCAGGGTTGATTTTTTTTTTTTTAAGATTGACTGATTTGATCTCCTTGCAGTCCAAGGGACTCTCAAGAGTCTTCTCCAGCACCATAATTCAAAAGCATCTATTCTTCAGCGCTTGGCCTTCCTTATGGTCCAACTCTCGCAGCCATACATTACTACTGATAGATTCCGTGACCATCTGCTCCATGGCACAGTCACTGAGAGTATCTAGAACCCCAATCACTCCACCCTCTGACCCTTCCCTCCCTAACCTTTCAATATAATTTATATACAGGAATCACTGTATCCCACTGATTATTCTCATTCCACCAAGTTTCTGAAATGCCCATAATGTCTATGTTTTCCTCTGACACTTAAGCATTCCAGCTCCCCTATTTTACTTTATTTGCATATAAACACCCAGACACATTAGGCCTGCAGCCTTCCTCCTGTAGCTTCTAGACCTTGTTAGACAGTTAATATTGTTTGTCACCCTCTCAATGGCCACTCCTAATCCACTTCCCTCTAGTACAGTAACAGCTACCCCTTCATCGCTCGCAGCCATACATTACTACTGATAGATTCAGTGACCATCTGCTCCATGGCAGATTTAGATTTAAACCTGCTCTGCCACTTTTTTTAAAAAAATTAAGTGCTGGCAGCCAGGTTCTTCTTGGGACAAGTGGAGTCTGCCTTTTTTGTACAGGTTCTGTACAAGCATCCCAGTGCCTAACAAGCTGAAACCTTCCTCACTACACCATCATCTCATCCATGCACTGAGACTCCTAATTTGTGTCTGGCTAGTTGGCCCGGTGCGTGGAACAGGCAGCCCTTCTGAGAAGGCTACCTTGGAGGTCCTGGGCCTTGAGTCTCCTGCCTAGCAGCCTAAACGTTTCCTCCAGGGCCAGACAACTACATTTCCCCACATCATTGGTGCCAGTGTGTACCACGGCCACTGGCTCCTAGATACCAGCCTTATCTAGACCATGCATAATGTCCACTACTTTTGCACCAGGCAGGCAAGTCACCATGCAGTCAGTACACAGGTTTGCCACCCATCTGTCTATATGCCTAAGGACTGAATCACCAACTACCAAGAGCCCCCCCCCCTCTCTCCCTGCCCAGGGATGGCTTCTTGGTGTGAAAGGATACTTGTTCGCCAACTGTAGAAAGCGTCCCTTCTGAGAGAACATTCCCCCTTTCTTCAGCACGGTGCCCTGTTTCCCCTTGACCCTCATGCTCCCTGACAGTGGTGGGGCTGCCATTCTTGGAGTGGGACACATCTAACAAGTCCCCAAGAGTCTTATCTGTGTGCCTAACTGACTGTCTCTGCTTCTCCAGGTCAGCCACCTTGGCCTTGAAGGTGTGAACTTGTTCTCTGAGAATCAGGAGCTCCTTGCACTGAGCACACACCCATGACTTCTGTCCAGTTGGCAGACAGTCAGACATGTTGCACTCAGTGCAATACACTGGATAGCTCCCAA